GCCGGAGAGATCCGAAGCAGGACAGAGCTGAGCAAAAGAATGCAGCTCTATTCTCGCCAGGGAAATTATAAAAAAGTTCATGTTCACGGTTACCATCCACATGACCACCGGCAACCAATAGAGAAGAAGAGCCACTCATAAAGTTGTATTGCAAAGTTGTAAATTTTCATAAACAACAACGGATTTATGGCCCTTTCCTCATCACTAAGAAAGAGGCAGGACTTAGAGAGGCGCCATTTTACCAGAGAGGCAGACCTAGATTTTTAAAGAAGCCACGGTTTGACTTTTCTCTGTTCCTCCCTCGTATTAAAATTGCACTAAATGCATTTATCAGCGCAGCTGAAATTAGCACGGATTGTTCCTTCTACCTTTATTTATCTTGCCCTTTACAATGGTATTTATGATTTCATCCTGAAACTGTACAGTCTAACTTAAAAAAAAGAAAATAAAAAAGGCTGGTAGGAAAAATATTTTGAAATACGCCCCTGCAGCGGTCTGTGCATGTCTTATCTTTCCCCCCGGTTGTTGTTATAGTTGTTTTGGTAATTGGACTTTCCGAAGGCTACAGAGCATCTTACGCCCTACATCTAACTCTCTCCCCCCCTTATTCGGATATTTGGTCCGAAAATTTTCATATGGGCTTTTTTTCTTGGTCCCATAAATGAGGATTTCCGCCTATGCCGTAGTAGAGACTCCTGAAACCCGAATTCAGATTTTTCCATTCTGAAGCCTAACCCTCCACCAAGCCCTATTCATCCTGTATTGAAACTCATAGAACTAATTTGGCCCTACTTGAAAATTAATTACCATTTTCATTTCTAATGATTCAGATATCTTATATCCTCATTCCTATTGTCTTGGATTGAGGAAATTTCTCTTGAATGTGTGATTTAATTATATTTTGGGTGAGTTACTCTGAAAACAAAATTATGCTATGATTCCAGGTACCTGCACAGTTGCAGAGTTAGTAATGTTTCCCCTAACTGCTAGGGATTATTTATTTACTTGTTGGGAGATCCAGCATTGGGCTGTGTATATGCATATATTTTCAACCCACTCGCCTGATAAAGAAGAATAAGCCACTGTTAACAAGCATTTTTATTTTGTATAACAGAAAGCACATTAAACTGGGTGATACACCTCCAGGGAGAAGTCATACGTGTGCGCACACATATACACACACACACACACACACACACGCAATGCATAAACATACACACACACACTTCCCCCTCCCATTTTGACATGAAACACCTCAATGTTCACATTGGACATAGTGAGAAGCACATTGTAATATACGATTTACGCATAAAGTGTAGCCAAATTTTCAAGGCGGAATTTATTTAACATTGCAGTTTTTAACATTGCATCATGCTTAGAAACCCTATTAAGTACAAACAACAAAGAGTCCTGTGGCACTTTAAACAGACTAACAAACTTATGATAGCATGAGCTGTCCTGGCTCATTTCATCGGATATGGCATGATGTGTTTACAGATGGGTTCCCAGACCACTAATAGAGCCAAATCTCAGTTTCATTGTACAGGATGTGTTAATTGCATGAAAGTCAGCAGAGTTTAATTCCTAAAATATTTCTCCAAGAAGACAAAGAAAGAAAAGTGGCTTGAAAGCAGATGCTTGTCCCTCACATGAGTTCTTCTCAAGTGTTGCTGTTTTCAGTTGCATCAGGCAGAATGAAAGGTATAAACAATTAAAATGAAGCACCTAATAGGCCATGAAGAGCAATACAAACAGAAGAGATGAAACCACTTTGTACAATCATTGCGATGTGTTACCTTATTAAATTCAGACTAGCAAAGAATTGAGAAGAAAGCTTATATTGCAGCATATTGTTTTCACTTAGCCTTGGAATAAATATATTATTTTTTAAAAAAACTTTAAATTATACTAAGCAATACTCTGCTTGAAATACTATATCAGAAATAGAAAGACCTTGCTTTCTTTTACGCCTTCTTCTCTATGCTTCAGGTCCTGTAAGCAAATCATTAATATTATCTTCCCTCTTTTTTCCATTAATAAAATACAGTATAATGTTGAAGACGGGTAGGAGGAGCTAGATAATAGGTAGTTTTGAAGATAGGTAGTAGGATTCACTGTAGTAGAGTGTAGTGGTTTTATCTATTTTTTCTCTCAAGGATTTCTGCCCCTCCCCCCTTTCCAGGTTATATAGACAAAAATAAAATAGAAACAGGAACTGGAAGTACATAGATCTTAAGCATAAATTAGGTAGTCTGTGTGTGAACCTATCCCTTAGGACTTGATTCGGACCAATACAGTCAGGTAGTTTATTTGGAAGATAATTAATGTGGGACATTTTTATTACATTTTTATTTTTTGCCCCTTTCTTGTGCAAGTAAGGATTTTTTTTTCCTGTCACGTATACCAGTAAAAATCAATCTATATCCATCTAGCAATAATACAAACGTTACAACAGGTTTGGAGGGCTGAAGTCAACTTACTGGGCTAGAAATTGTTCTCAGTTTACACAGAGCGTAACGGAGGATGCTCTTGCGGGGGGGGGGGGCAGGAAAGCAAGGCAAGAAGCTCTCTTCCCCCACCCCCTCCTTGTAATCGGGAATGGCCATTACAAGGCTCTCTCTTATTTTATTTTATTTATTTTCACGTTGATTTCAAGGTAGCGTTTGCAACTGTCACGTGCATACAGAACAGAAGAGCCCGGCAGAGTGGGAAGCCGGCGGGTTCACTCTGCTTCCTCCTCCTCCTCCTCCTCTTCTTCCTCTTCCTCTACTTTCTCCACAGAGGCTGCGGCGGATGTGCTGTCTTTGGCCGCGGCGGCGCCATCGGCATCGGTGGTGGTGGCGGCGGCGGCGGCGGCGTCTTCTTTATGCTCCTTCTTCCATTTCATGCGCCGATTCTGAAACCAGATTTTGATCTGCCGCTCCGTCAAGCAGAGCGCGTGGGCAATCTCTATCCTCCGCCGGCGGGTCAGATAGCGGTTGAAGTGGAACTCTTTTTCCAACTCGAGGGTCTGGTAACGGGTGTAGGTCTGACGCCCCCTCTTCCTATCCGGACCTGCAGGGAGGGGGCCGGAGGGTAGGGAGAGGGAGAGAAGGAGAAAGAGAGGAGGGGAGAACGGGGGCATGAAAAGCAACCTAGGTGAACCCTGGGAGGAATCTACCAACCCCCAGCTGCTAAACGGAATAGATCAACCTGCTGCTTTGCCCCCCCCGTCCCCTCCCTCATCACCAGTTCCTGGCAAAGACCTTTTCAGCCAGACACAGCGCCCAACCGCCCTCTCCCCAAAAGGGCCATTTGCGGAGCAATCGTCTGTGGATGCCTACTCCCAAGTAAGCCCCACTGGGTTCAGTTACGCCTAGAAAAGGATGCCTGTCAGGATGGCAAGACTAGCACAGGGGCACAGAAACAAGAGCTGTTTCCTTCAGCGGGACTTCCTCTCAGCTCCAGGGAGTCAAAGGCTGAGGTCTCCTCGAAAGTAAGCCCCGCGGACTGCTTGGGCTCGGTGCGTTTAAAGTTTGCATCCGTAACTTGTTCGAAGCGTCCCACGCAAAAGGAAGAAAAGGGAGAAGAGTCAGTTTTCAGTGCCTAATTATTTGTTTTTAATTGAGAATACTATCAAGCCTCCGAGAACACAATACTATCCAGGATCATCCAAAGGAGGTGGATGTCCGAGAAGGTCCTAACCCACATTCTGGTCTCCCGTGGAGGGCAAGGGAGCCAAGCGAAGTCTCCTGTCTAGCCATTACAACCGCCTGCTTCCTTCTGCCCTGAAATCACCTAAAGGGCTTCCATTGCTCTGAGAATCGTTTTCTGTCCTGCATCTTTAAAAGGTAGCATGGTTCTGGAAAAATAAAACAAATAAAAATGAGGAGTCACACTTTTTAGCTCAGTCCACAAAGACAAGCTCCTGTGGTGGTGTTTGGGTTCCAGACCCCCTTTTTCCTTGCTTACCTTCCCACGTCCAGGAGATCCCACCCCGTTTCTCTTTCTCGGCTTCCCACCCAACACCCCTTTTCTGCCAGAGGGAGAGAGGCCAAGCTCCTTCGCCACCCTTCCTTGTTTCCCTGTGGAACCGACCCCCCTCCTCCCAAAAAAGCCAAACAAACCAGCAAGCCTAACCCAAGGCTCCCAATTCCACAGCGAAGTGGAGTTAAATAAATTTACGAGGCTCGAACCCATTAATTGGGCAATAAAAAGTTTTATGGGGCTCATTTACATACAATGCCACGGGCTTTCTGCGCAATGGCGCCTCTGCTCTAATTAAAAACAGAAGACTGGCAGGCGCGCTTTTCCGCGTGGAAGTTTGCCCGGCTGCTCCGCACGGGGTTGATTTCTCGGCCGGAGATGGCTTTCATCTTCGCCGCCACCTCGCTGCTCTCGGTCCCGCCCCCCCCCCCCACACACACACACACCCTGCCCCGCTTCCCCATACCTGAAGACCTCATCCAGGGGTATATCCGGAAATTGCCCTCAGCCTGGCTGTGCAGGTTGCTCTCCTCCGCTTTCTCACAGCTGGATTTGGTTAAGTCATGGCAGAGGACGGGAATGTTCTGATCGAAAGAGGAGCAGTGCAGGTTGTACGCGTCGGAGCCCAGGCTGTATCCGGATGAGAACGGGTTTTGATATATGGTACTGTTCACGTTGTACAAGGCAGGCACGGAGGAGGTGAAGGCGCCCGCCCCGGGTCCGTAGCCGCTTCTCGGGGAGTTGGTGGCGAAGGAGCAAGACGTAGGCTCCGCATTTTGGAACAGAGAAGCAGCCCCCGCCGTATATTTGCTAAAAAGAGCGTTCACATAATACGAAGAACTCATAATTTTGACCGGTGATTTGTTGTCCGGTAGGCTTCCGTGTCGGTTTTACGAGGTAGCGTGATATATGATAACATTACACCCCCAGATTTACACCAAACCCCATTTTCTTTTGGACTCTGCTGCCTCCACCACGTGACCAGTCATATGACCCCGTCCTCCAATCTC